TGACGCCCACTCATGAGGGCCGCGTGGAAGCAGGTGAGTCCCTGGGGTGGCGAGGGAGCACCGGAGTCCCCGAAATGAGCCGGGGTCCAGCAGACCGGCGGCCTCCCGGGAGTGGGCGGGGGGCTCCGAGGTGACCCTGCCCCGCGTGGGGGCCGCGCCGTGGGGTCTGCTGGGGTGGCGCAGGGCAGCCCTGCAGCCGGCGACCTAGCCCGAGTCGGAGTCCAGCTTCCCAGGGCCTTTCTGCGGCTCGCTGGCCGGTGGCGCGGGGCTGAGTGCAGCCTCACAGGGGCTGGTCCGGACGCGCTGCCCTGAGCCGGGCGCTGCCCAGGCCGGGCTGGACAGCTGGGGGTCCGCGTCCCAGAGCGGCTGCTGGACAGGGCGCCGGCCGGCACCGCGGCTCTTTGCCCGCCCAGCCTTGTGCTTTTACTAGAGGTGAGAATCACTGTCCCATCGCCTTGTCCAGGCCTCGTGTCTGTTTACATCCAAGCCCGTGTTCTGCCACCCAGATGAAGCCTGGGGGCGCCCCACCCCAGCAGGGTACCTGCAACTCCAGAGGGCTTTAGTGCGCGGCGAGTAAACCCCAACCGTGCACCCACGTCCCTCTCAGCACAACCCAGGGCCGTGTCCTGCGGCGAGTTGGGACGCTGTCCGCTCCTGAGGCTGCCCAGGCCCCAGGCGGGCCTTGTGCGTCTTCTGCGTCTATGGGGAGCTGAAAGGCAGGATCGGGGCCGGGGCGTGACCCCTCCCGCCTCTCACAGGCAGCTGCAGCAAGCAGAGGGTCCCTGTGACTGGAGGCGCACCCCACGATGGCCGGGCCCTCGCCTTTCAAGATGCGCCTGGTTCACCTGGACCTCAAGGGGGCGCCGCCGAGGGCCTCCTATCTCTCCGAGGTGAGACCAGCCACGGAGCGGCCTTCTGGAGAGGCATCCTGGCCCCCGAGGGCACGGCGCCAGGGATGGCCAAGGGAAGACAGGACAGGGACCCACCACCCCGTCCCTCCGGAGGACACGCTGGAGCCCGGAGACCCTGTGGAAAGTGGGGCCTCTGCAGGTGGAGACGGCCTGGGGGGGACGGCCGGGCGTGGGCTCCTGGCTAGGAGGGGACGCCACGGCCAGGGGGGCAGAGGGCATAGGGTGCCACAGGAGGGGTCAGCAGGTCCCCACAGTCAGGGGAAGCTCACAGCCCTGCCTGCCCTGGTTTGGGGCTTCTGACCCTACTGAGAATGAACTCTGGCTCTCAGCCCCCCACTGTGGCTCCAGAGAAGCAGTACAGACTTCGGGGTGCTCTGTGAGGGCCCAAGTGCAGCCTGACCCCCAGGCGGAGGGGGCGGGGCCGGGACCAGGGGGCTCCCTGCAGGAAAGAGGCCGGGACTCAGAGGGTGCTGGGGAGCCCCAAGGCCTCAGCCCTCCAGAAGTTCCTTCCAGACTTCGCCCCAGGAGGACACTTAGGGATGATCGAGATTGAACTGGGCAGGCAGAGGCGGGTCGGACGGGCAGTGGGGCCAGGGCAGTGCCTGGGGCCCAGCCCCGAGGCGGGAGACTCAGTGGGCGGGCGGGCAGCCCCCCAGGCTCGAGGCCCTCCAGAGCCAGGGCTGAGTGAGGGGGCCTGAGGCGAGGCGCGTGGGCCCCAGAGCCAGGAGCGGGTCACAGAGGAGAGATGTGGCCGAAAGGGGCGGGACAGGCAGCCAGAGGGACTGGTCCGTGGGCCCTGGGTGTGGGGTAACGCTGGACCGGGAGAGGGCGGCCGAGCGCCCCCGGGCCTGCCACACGCACAGGCAGGGAGGGCCGTTGGGCTCTGCCATACGCACCCAGAGGTGCCGCGAGTCCCCTGCCCCACGGGGACCCCTGGCTGGGGCGCAGGCCCCGGGGCGGTGTGAGTGGCGCTGGGCCCCCCTGTGCCCTGCCTCCTCCCGCTTCCTCCTCCACTTGGGGCCTCACTTGGCGGCCAGGCCAGCTCTCTTCCAGCTGGCGGTCTTGGGGTGCCACAGGTGTCTTGGACCCGACTGGGGGGGGTGGCGCGGGTTGGCCGCCTGTGCCGGCGACTTCAGGAGAAAGCTGCGGTGGGCAGAAGCGTTGGCCGGCAGGGCCAGCCCGTCACCGGCAAGGGAGGGCCAGGCGGGCTCTGGACACCTCAGGCCCGGGGGCTGCAGTCAGCGCGCTGGAGACGCTGCTGGGCCAGACCGGTCGTGCCTGCAGGTGACCTTGGTGTGTGAAGCCACCGGCCGGCCGACCTAGAAGCACCAGAACCACCTGAGCTGGCCGTGACAGGCCACACCGCCTTGGGGACTGGACAGAGGAGGGTCCCCCTGAGGATGGGCCCCGCTGCCAGGCCCAGGGGGAGCCGCGAATGGGGAGCCCCGTCCCAGCCCCGAAGGCACCCAGGCCGAGCGGCTGTGGGCATGGCGCAGCCCAGGCGGGGGAGGCGCCCGCCCCTCCCTGGGTCCCCTGGCGCCAGTCCCGCCCCAGCTCTTGCACTTGCAGGCGGCCGCCGGGCCTCGGGAGTGCCCTGTCCGGGGCACGGGAGCACGAGACAAGCGCCAGGAAAGTGAGAGTGGAGGGACAGCAGCAGATGGGGGCCTGGGGACCCGCTGCCCGGCCGGGGGGCCCGCTGGGGGGCCTCCCTGCCCGGCGGACGACACCACCTCGTGACCCCCGTCTCGCTCCCAGATTTTCCCTCTGTTCCACGCTCTGGGCGCAAACGGCCTCCTCATCGAGTATGAAGACATGTTCCCCTACGAGGGCCACCTGCGGCTGCTGCGCGCCCAGCACGCGTACAGGTACCGCGCAGGGTCACGGCGCCGAGTGCGGGCGGCAGCGCCCCCTGCTGGAGGGCGGGCGCAGCGCTGGGCGGCGGCGGGCCAGGCGGGCGCCGTGGGCTGAGTCTCTGACTACGAAGCGCGGCTTCGCCTTTCTCCCGGGAGCCGTCCTCTACGGCCGAAAGAATAAAGCGAGAACAGAGCACGTTCCCAAAGGAGAAACTGGACGCACTCAAACAGAAAATAGCTGGCCTCTGGCTCGCTGGAAGAAGTGCTGTGGTGTTCGCACTGAGTGCGCCGTGCAGGGGGGAGGCTGCAGGGGGAGGCTCCTGGGGAAGAGGCCGAGCAGCTTTTCGGTCTGGGCCGTGTGTGAACGGGAACAGCCTGGGCCCAGCGAGGATGTTAACTGGCCTCTCCAGAGGTGCAGCTGGGTTATGGCGTTGTGGGGCTCGGGGGAAAGGTGCGTCTGCAGTCCCCAGGGTGGGAACTGGCATCTCCAGGGTGGGAGGCTGCCCTGGGCCCCTGGGGAGGGGCCACCGGGGATCAGAGCCTCCCCGGTGTAGCCGCGGCTACTCTCCCGCGGGAGCACTTTGCGACTTGTCAGCAAAGGAGCAGCGGCGCCTGGGACCCGAGGGGTGTGGGGCCAGACTGAGATGCCAGGGGAGAGCCGCCCTCTCCTGCTGGACACGCCCTGGGGGCCCCAGGGCGGGGCGATGAGGCCCCCAGCGACCCAGCAGCGGCTGCCCTGGAAGTGGCCGCGCCTGGGAGCTCTAGCCGGCCTGCGGGGGGCCTGCTTCCTCTGAGGACCAGGCGGTCAGCGCGCGGGGTTCTGCAGTCCTGCCAAGCCACTGGGCAGTGAGATGGGCGGTCGGCCCCCGGGGCCCCTTTGGCCGTGACCACTCGCTGTCTGTTCCGTAGCCCCGCAGAGATCGCGCACATCCGGCAGCTGGCGGCGCAGCACGGGCTGGAGGTGGTGCCTCTGGTGCAGACGTTCGGGCACATGGAGGTACAGCCGCGCGGGGGGGGGGGCTGGCGAGGGTGGGGGGCATGGGGACCGACGGGGTGCTGGGGGAGCCCGGGCCAGAACAGGAGTGGGGGCGTGGGCAGGGGTGGCGGGGGAGGGGGGCCTGCAGCGCGAGCCCTTGTCCTCCACCCCCGCTGGGCCACATAGGAGGCGGGGCAGCCCGCCATGCTCTGCTGGGCACCCCCAGCACCAGTCTGCGTGTGGTGCCGACGGTCGCCCGCTGCTCTTACCCTGGTTCTCTCTTAATGGCGCCTCCCAGCCTTGGGCCCTTATGCGCTGGCCCCGCCCCTCTGTGCTCCGGCCCCGCCCAGTGTTCCGCCCCCGCGCCTTGGCCCCGCCCCTCCATGCTCCGCCCTCCGCGCCCCGGCCCCGCCCCTCCGTGCTCCACCCTCCGCACACAACCGCCTTTCTTTGAGGCTTTGTGTGTGTGGGCGTCTCCCATACCCGTTTTGCATTAACCTTTGTGTGCATTTGGGGTGAGGTTCCTTCTGGCTTGTCAAGTCTGTGGGAGGGACCCCTGTCCTGGGGCGGAGCGAGGGGCGTGCGCGGAGGGCCTGTGCTGCCGTTGGTGGGTTCGAGGGAGCACCCCCAAATTGCTGCCTCAGGACAAAGCTCTAGTCGCCCCTGGGAGCCCTGCCGGCCGCCCCCCTCCCCGCCCTTGGCCCCCCTTTGGCTTGGAGTTGCCTGCTGTCTGAATCTGTTTGGCTGTGAATCGCATCCCCTTTCCTGTGTTTCTGATCTGTGAACGTGGGGCGTCTGCCTGCCCCGTGGGGCCGCCCACGGTCAGGTGTTTATTCCACTTGGGGTCCCGAGCCTCTGGGTGCAGACGGGGTAGGCCTCCGCCTCCTGGCGACGGGGCCTCTGCCCTTCCTGCCGCATCTCTGCACATCCCAGACCAGTGGCCACAGGCGGAGCCCATGTGGCCCCGCTCTGGGCTCAGCCCCCAGGCCGGCGCCGTGGTGCTGGGGTGCCGTGGACTGGACCAGCCTCGCGTCCCGAGAACCCGGACCGCCTCCCTGTCCTCCCCCGCAGTTCGTGCTGAAGCACCCAGCTCTGGCTCACCTCCGGGAAGTGGCCCCGTTCCCCAACACCCTGAACCCCCACGAGGCGGAGTCCCTGGCCCTGGTGGGCGCCATGCTGGACCAGGTGCTGGGGCTGCACCCAGGCGCACAGTGGCTGCACATCGGCTGTGACGAGGTGGGAGCCCTCCCGGCCCGGCGTCTGCCCCCGAGGGGGGCAGGTGCCCACAGCGCAGGGCCAGCGGGCTGCGGAGGGCAGCAGGCAGCAGAGGGCGCCGCTGCACTGGGCCCTGACCAGAGCGCGCCGTCCGGGCCCAGAGGGGGGTCCCGCCCTTCAGGGGAGTCTCTGGCTTGCAGTCGCGAGACTCGCAAAACAATTTTCTGTCACTCACTGCTTTGAAGTGACTTCTGCGGACACCCCGGGGCCGCGCCACTGCTCCCCTCGCCACCCGAAAGACCGGGCCCTTGAGTGGGCGCCTAGTGCACCTCCCTGGCTGGCC